GTTCTTAAACCCTGCTGACTGCCATTGGCGATTACCAAATAAACGGATCACAAGATGTAACAAAATAGATCTTATTATTAATTTTTACCAAACAGAAAACAATAAACTTGTGAAAAAACGATATACCGCAAACATGAGGTGCAAAAATTTGTACACAATATGCCTCCAAATACCATTTCGATTCCTAACATCACTGAAGAGACATTAATTGTCGAAATCCGGATATGGTAATAATAAGATCTATTTTGTTACATCTTGTGATCCGTTTATTTGGCAAGCGCCAATGGCATTCAGTAGGGTTTAAGAACATCAGTTGTTCGACCTGCTATTCAAATGCGTTTTGTTAAAATATACTTTTTCACTCATTTGGTCTTTTGGAAAATGTTGTTTGTGCTGTATTTAGACCCCTCTACCAAGAAATTTATTTTGCATGCACACGTATAAAAATGCGGTTTTTATCCAACGCAATCATAGGTTTGAACGTTGTTTTCGATTTAGACTTGTTTATATTTTTTCGTTTGGGCTTGTATTATATTTGCCTTCGGGTACATATGATCCGTTCATCCTATTTTGACTCTTTCAAAATTCAAGACTCTATCCTAAATTGAGGTAAATTATATGGCCTTCCAAAAACCGTTCGATTCCTAACATCACTGAAGAGACATTAATTGTCGAAATCCGGATATGGTGTACAAATTTTTGCACCTCATGTTTGCGGTATACCATCTTTTCCGCAAGTTTATTGTTATTTGTTTGGTAAAAAATTAATAATAAGATCTATTTTGTTACATCTTGTGATCCGTTTATTTGGCAATCGCCAATGGCAGTCAGCAGCGTTTAAGAACATCAGTTGTTCGACCTGGTAGTCAAATGCGTTTTGTTAAAATATACTTTTTCACTCATTTGGTCTTTTGGAAAATGTTGTTTGTGCTGTATTTAGACCCCTCTACCAAGAAATTTGTTTTGCATGCACACGTATAAAAATGCGTTTTTTATCCAACGCAATCATAGGTTTGAACGTTGTTCTCAATTTCGACTTGTTTATATTTTTTCGTATGAGCTTGTATTTTATTTGCCTTCGGGTTTATATGATCCGTTCATCCTATTTTGACTCTTTCAAAATTCAAGAGTCTATCCTAAATTGAGGTAAATTATATGGCCTTCCAAATACCGTTTCGATTCCTAACATCACTGAAGGGACATTAATTGTCGAAATCCGGTTATGGTGTACAAATTTTTGCACCTCATGTTTGTGGTATACCATCTTTTCCGCAAATTTATTGTTTTCTGTTTGGTAAACAATTAATAATAAGATATATTTTGTTACATCTTGTGATCCGTTTATTTGGCAATCGCCAATGGCAGTCAGCAGGGTTTAAGAACATCAGTTGTTCGACCTGCTAGTCAAATGCGTTTTGTTAAAATATACTTTTTCACTCATTTGGTCTTTTGGAAAATGTTGTTTGTGCTGCATTCGACCCCTCTACCAAGAAATTTATTTTGCATGCACACGTATAAAAATGCGGTTTTTATCCAACGCAATCATAGGTTTGAACGTTGTTTTCAATTTAGACTTTTTTATATTTTTTCGTTTGGGCTTGTATTATATTTGCCTTTGGGTTTATATGATCCGTTTATTCTATTTTGACTCTTTCAAAATTCAAGAGTCTATCCTAAATTGAGGTAAATTATATGGCCTTCCAAATACCGTTTCGATTCCTAACATCACTGAAGAAACATTAATTGTCGAAATCCGGATATGGTGTACAAATTTTTGCACCTTATGTTTGCGGTATACCATCTTTTTCGCAAGTTTATTGTTTTCTGTTTGGTAAACAATCGCCAATGGCAGTCAGCAGGGTTTAAGAAAATCAGTTGTTCGACATGCTAGTCACATGCGTTTTGTTAAAATATACTTTTTCACTCATTTGGTCTTTTGGAAAATGTTGTTTGTGCTGTATTTAAACCCATCTACCAAGAAATTTGTTTTGCATGCACACGTATAAAAATGCGGTTTTTATCCAACGCAATCATAGGTTTCAACATTGTTTTCAATTTAGACTTGTAAAAACAGATTTTTACATACTTACATGATTCACAAATTATCAAATTGAGATACTTAAACTATCTAATTTTAAAGTCCGAGTATTGTTAAAAAAAAAGATTTTCTTTTACATGAAAACTGTACTGAGGTTAATATAACCTTATTAAGGTGCTTCTTGTTTGACATGTTTTTCTTATTTAAACAAATCTTAATTCAGATAAATTATTAAATAAAAAAACTGTATAGGTTTCATGGTTGTACATACAATTGTAATATAACGATCTTTTTAACTGAGGTAACAGCAACAACATCACTGAAATTGTTTAACCTTATATCAGAAATAAATCTATTCTTATCATAATTTGGCATATTTATATGTATATATATTTTAACAAAACGAATTTGACTAGCAGGTCGAACAACGGATGTTCTTAAACACTGCCGACTACCATGGCGATTGCCAAATAAACGGATCACCAGATGTAACAAAATGGATCTTAATTATCAATTTAATACCAAACAGAAAACAATAAACTTGCGGAAAAGATGGTATAAAGCAAACATGAGGTGCAAAAATTGGTACACCATATACGGATTAATAGCTCTTCAGTGATGTTTGGAATCGAAATGGTATTTGGAAGGCCATATAATTAACCTCAATTTAGGATTGACTCTTCAATTTTGAGGAGTCGAAATAGGATGAACGGATTATATAAACCCAAAGGCAAATATAATACAAGCCCAAACGAAAAATATAAGCAAGTCTAAATTGAAAACAACGTTGAAATATATGATTGCGTTGGATAAAAACCGCAATTGTTTTACGTGTGCATGCAAAACAAATTTCCTGGTAGAGGGGTCTAAATACAGCACAAAAACATTTCCAAAAGACCAAAAAAGTGAAAAAGGATATTTTACCAAAACGCATTTGACTAGCAGGTCGAACAACTGATGTTCTTAAACACTGATAGATATCTAAAAGGGATAACAATTAAAGAAATTATTAAAACTGTTTTTCTGATTAGGAATAAACTATAAAGTAATACTTCCTGCTTGGGGCACACTCATGAAAAAGATCACACCTGATCAGAAAGTAATAAATTTTAAATACCATCCATTGAAAATTAAACAGCATCCTGTAAAACTTAAATCACAAGGCCTTGTGAGTTCACTAGATAAGAAATACACGAGTTTAAGAAAAACAGGGTTTTATTTTTACCTTTAAAACACACCTGTACTGCCTAAGGTAATTAACCTTATTAAAGAGCTTCCTGTATGCAATGTCTTTGATTTTGACAAATTTTAATTAAACAACCTAAATTATAACTTTGGAACACAATTCTTTTTTTAAGAAGGTTTTATAAAGTATTGCTATGGAAGGTCTATTATAGTAAAGACGTTATTTTACAAAACAAAGGTGTCATTTTCAAATTTATTTAGTTTCTTTATATACAATACAACAAAATCACTTCGTAATTAACTAAACATGACTGACACCATAAATATATACCAGGTTAAGTTAGTGTTTGAAAATTTTGCAATAACCATAAAATATATCTGAAACATTAACAAATTTTGAATTTTGAATACCATTTATGATATTTGAATAATGGTCGAAAGTTCTTGTATTTATGATGTACATAATGCAATGTGAACCTGACATCATGTATATAAAAATTCATTTAACCAAGGATTTGTATAGTATACAAATCCTTGATCTAACCGAAAAATTTATTACATGATATTTTTTTTAATCTGACCAGAAATGACTTCCTTCGATCACCTTGTTTTATTTTTATTTTAAAGACGATATACATTGTATATATATATGTATAAGTGTTGATGAATATGGTGTTGATGATTATATAATGTTTATTGTTAAATTTTGGTTCCAATGCTATATATTATATACATTTTTTATTTCAAATTGTTGTTCAAATTTCTAGCCAAGGGAAATATCTGTTGTTAAAAACAGTTCTTAATTGATGAAATATAAAAGATAGATAAAAATAGGTCTAGGTTGGTTAAGACTTGGTCGAGTATGGTTAAGACCAGGTCGAGCATGGTTCAGACTTGGTCGAGAATTGTTAAGACTACGTCGAGTATGGTTCAGACTAGTACAAAATGGTTAAGTACTGGTCGATTAAAGGTCGAGTACAAGTTCAGACTGTTTTAAGTATGGTTCAGACTACAGTCGAGTAATATCAAGTAAATTTCAGACCAATTCAGACTGGTCGAGCAAAAATTAGTACAGTCGAGTACAGATATAGGCCATTTCAGACTTTTACTGGTTTGTAGTGTTAGGTAACTTAACAATAAAAATTATAAAAAAAAATTTATGCAGATGAAAGTTTCATAGATCTGTACTCTAATGTGATAAAAAAATATGTGTTTGTTGTCCCCTGTGTAACGCGTTGCGGGGGACATGGAAATAACGGGCGTCCGTCCGTCCGGTCTTGTTAGCTCTCTCACAGGTACAATTCTTTCCAGATTTTTATAAAATTTATACTATAGGTTAATATCAGCAATATCTCGGGCAAGTTCTATAATGGTGGCCGATCTACTTTTTTAAAAGAGTTATGCCCCTTGGAAATATTAAATATATGGAAAATTGCCTCGTAATCGCTCTCACGGGTACAATTCTTGCCAGATTTTTATAATGGTAGACGATCGAATTTTTATTAAAGAGTTATGCTCCTTGGAAATATTAAATTTATGGAAAATGGCCTTGTAAGCGCTCTCACGGGTACAATTCTTGCCAGATTTTTATAAAACTTATACTATAGGTTATATCAGCAATATCTCGGACATGTTCTATAATGGTGGACGACCGACTAATAAAAAAAAGAGTTATGCCCCTTGGAAATATAAAATATGTGCAACGCGGGGGACATTCAAACTCTGTTCTTTCATTTAACATAGAATTTATAAACACAAATTAATATATTTGTTATAGATGCGCCCTATGGTTACATGAGTCTGATCCCAAATATAATATCACGCTATGGCTGGCATCCAGGAGACAAATTTAAAAATTTTATGGGGGAAGTTTTATCTATGAAGACAGGTGACCCAGATATAACATTCGCTGAGGTATAGTAAACATAATATTTTATTTGTTTGAATAATAATGGACCATAGAACTTTTGTTCTCTAATAAGAACACAAAATTTTATAGATAGATATTAATCAATCGAAGATAAGATACAATGTATACTCGTCTGATGGAACTTCATACCTGAAAGAAGTATTTAATGTGCAACAACATATACATACATCTCTAATGATATAATGTTGAATACCTCCAAAATTTGGTTAAAAAATTCATTTGTTTATAAATTATATTTTGCACGCAGGTAAACCGTATGTTGAACTGTGTAATGAGTAAAAGTATTTTAATGTAAACACTGATTTCGGAATTGAATTGTGATTTTTTTGGATGAAAGAAATTTAATTCCAGACTAATATTTATCATTGTACAAGAACATTGGTTATGCATTTTGTCATTGTAGGTATATAAGAAATTTGGTAATGAATTGTGTATTATTATTGCAAACGTCAATACTATGTCAGAAGAATATTGTCATGTAAAAACCACACCAGATATGCCTGTTAGATTGGCAGTGCGTATGTCAATGTCTATTCCTGGTAAGATTTGGTTATCAGTTTTTAGAAAAGAATGGATGTAGAATTGATATGAATACAAATCTATTAAATTAATAAACAGATATATGTATATATATATATATATAAATATACATGAATAAACTGTTTTAGGGGATTTAAGAAATATTCGTGGAATTTGTACATTTAGTTTCATTTTCTGAGTAGTAATTAATCTGAAACAATTTCGTATAGATATTATCACATCTGCTTTGCTTCTCAAAAATGATGTTCATATTAGATAAAACACAATTTAAGTGTGTGTCTGCTATTTACATTTACATCTATTTATCTTGAGGCACAATTATCAAGTGAAGTACATAAGCATATTACTATGGTATAAAAGTATGAAAACTATGGATTAAGTCTAACATTTTCATCAATATAATAATAGTAGTAATGATAGTGCAAGAACACATATACACATAAAATATGGTATAACAGTATACCTATACATTAAAATATACACACATATGTACATGTATATGGATGTACGCCATTAATATTTAATAAGTGACCCAAGCCCAGGGTTCCGGTACATGTTATATTCTTCCACAATCAATTTTTTCAAAAAAATATGTTTTTCTAAAATCAAGTTTTTTTATGTAATTTTGAAGTCCTTTTATAGGAGGTTTTACATCTTGCATCTTAGATCTGTAAACAAAGTACTTTGTCGGTAAAATAACATTATTTTTGATAATATTCAATTTATAATTTTAGAAACAAAAAAATGACAATATTCAATTTTAGTGGAATTTCGATATGTACTTTATCAAAAATCAAAGAATTTAGATTGTGCCAAATGTCGGCTACAATTTGACAATCCCAAAGTAAATGTTCTATAGGTTCTGACTCTTCCTTGCAAAATGTACATATATTACAGTTTACAAGGTTCATTAAAAAGATGGAGTAGACCATTTGTACCCAAAATATAATGAATAATTCTATACTGAAACCAACATAGCTTAGCTTTTTTTGTGAAATCTTGGTAACAGACAAGTGTATTTTTTTCCAATTTCCTACAACCTTATTTAGATTACCTTCCTATTTTTTTCTGCTGCAAAATCTATAGGTATTTTACCATTGTTTAAAATAGTATACATGTCATTTAAACCCTTTTCTGGCTTGCAACCAATTTTTAATGCAAGTATAAGCCCATTAAACTGTAAGAACGTGGGTTTAGACTTATAAATTCTTTCAAAATGTTCATAGGTCAATGTATTTCCATGTTCATCTAACAGGTCTGTTAAATACCTTCTCTATAAAAATTTACTATGGTCATCAGGAGTAAGTCAGTCGTTACAAGCAGCAGATATATATTCATTTTTCTGATTGTCACAGAGTTTGGCGGCCATGTATATATGGTAATTTTTAGTGATATCATGTCATTGGCACTCAAACCACATCTTCTTATTTCTATTTAATCAGTATATTGTAAACATACCGAAGTTGGTATTGTTCAAAATCTAGACTTCGTATGTACTTTATTCTCAAACGCCCTGGTATTTGTTGGTTTGTAATTAAAGGCAACAGTAGTATACCGCTGTTCAAAAGTCATAAATCGATTAAGAGAAAATAAATACGGACTACAAACTAAAACCTGGGGAAACACATCAACTATAAGAGGAAAACGAAACTGTTTTGGTGCATTTAGTTTTAACTTTTTGTCTATTTTTTTTAACTTAGAATTTTTCCCTCTTTCCTTAAACAAAATTTCCCTCTTTCCTTAAACATGATTTCCCTATTTCCTTAAATATGATTGGTTAAGAATCTTAGCACGTTATTTACTGACATGCTATATTAGATTATACTTTATATATCACTCTGGGTCTTCTTCAAGACATCAACTTTATCTCGTTTAGTCACTTTGGTTACAAGCTGCATTTGTCGCAGTCAAAATGTCAGCTTTAATTTGTTTCAGGTTTGTTTCAAAGTGTACAGAATAAACTGTACGGCAACACAAATACTTATGTAGATGGTGGAATTTTTTGTAACTACCCTATCCATTGTTTTGATGGTAAGTGTAAATGCATCTAATATTGATCATATTGAAACTAAACTTCGATGCTGAAAACAATTAATTTTCTAAAAAAGTTTCATTTCCAATGCTTTTTCAATATTTCGTCAACTGTGGCAGTTTATGATATAAACTAATCATAGATACCAGTCTAAAAATTTTGTATGCCAGATGACGTTGTTTTCAAATGATACATCAGTGACGTTCGATGCAGTAGAAGATCACTAAGGGCCCAAAATTACGAAAGGGGGTTTTACTATATTACCTTTTATTTCAATTGAACAATAAGGAATATATCGAACTAAGTGTGTACAGTTTACAGTAAAATATTCTCAATTGAAGAACGAATCATTCATCGTGGCTATAAAACAAAAGAAACAAATTTACTGAAAATCAAAGGGGATAATTTTTATATCTTTGTTCTAGGATGGTGGCTTTCGATGGATCCAAACGATAGTTTCTTAAATAAAATTCAGCCAATCTATGATATAGCATCGCTGATGGATAGAAAAAACAGGTTTCAAAGTGGAGCAGAGTCTACAAAAACACTTGGGTGTATTGTCGTAAGTGGGTCCCAATTCAAACTGGTATTATAAAAGAAGACAAACATCTAGCCATATAAAACCTAAGTAAAAAAGACAAAATCAGCAAGCCCAGAGAAAACCAACAAATGAAGAATTCCAAAACCAAGGCTCCAAATAGGTTTTGATTCACAACTCTAGGCAGACATAATACTGCAATGATAATAAATTTCTCTCGTCTAAACCAGGTTTAATCCACTATTTTCTACATAAGAAAATGCCTGTACCAAGTCAGGAATATGACAGTTGTTATCCATTCGTTTGATATGCTTGAGCTTTTAGTTTGCCATTTGCTTAAGAACTTTCCGTTTAGAATTTTCCTAGAGTGTTTGGTATTTTTATTATTTTACTTTTTACACTTACAGAATAAACAAATTTACAAAAGTAGTAGGTAGATGTAAGTTATCTAACTACTTATATAGGACGGAATGGGCAAGTCTAAAAAAAAGTAATTTTGTCTTAGATAAAGGAAAGACTATACCATGGAATAAAGAAATAGCACATGACTGGGAAAACAATAAGAACATAAAACACATAAAATTAAAGCAAAAATCTCACAAATCCCTTAAAAAATTATAAGTTTACCTTTAACCTCCAGAAGGGTGAGCATGGTTCTGCTCTATTAGTGAAATAAGTTGTATAGCTCAGGACAAGTAACAATCTGATGATATGACGCATTCAGTTCTGTCAAAAGAAAGAAGGTACGATAAATAAGACTTATGCTTAACCGATTGTGACATAGATATTTCAAAACGGGCATTGCCAAGCAGAATACGATATACTCCGTAAACTTCAAACAAAATGACATGAACCAAATGATAATTTTACCAGTCTAGTAGGCCGAGTTGTCCAGGTCACACAGCATAGATATAGATGCCATGATATCACAGAAGCATGGGTTAATGTCCCGCTGAAAAAAAGGACAAATATTTCTTACCGCGGATCTTTTCTTCGGAAGAGAAGCTTACAAAGACGCTATTTAAGTGATGGAAAAATTGATGTCAACATTTTAAAAGTTCTATGGACACAATCCTTTGCGTGACTGTCATGGAATCTATGTGGCATTGATGACTAAATTTATGTTCAAATTGTAGTAGCCACAATCCTGTCCACTTTTCCACAATTTTCACATCAACGAATACGAAATTTACTTGCGCAACAAGGCGGGTGCAACTAGTACATTATGATCTTATAGGTGTCAGACCACCAATTACTTCCTCCAATTTAGAACGTATGTAATGGTAGCCCTACTCTGACACAAAATAGTTCTTTTGATGTCATTGTTTACTTAAACTAACCAACAAATTTGCAACTGAAACTTTTGGTGAAAGAGAAATACATTTAGACCATTTTGAGCCAAAATTTACTTGTCTATGAGTTTGCATTAAAAATTCAGGATCAATGGGCTCCATAGTATACTAATTTAAGATTTCCAGAAAACCAGGGGTTATTTTGGTAGTACCTATGTTCCGAGGGTAAGATTTTTCTTATAAGACTTTAAAGGTAGGTTGAAAATTGGCACATAGAAAGGTGATACATGTACTATTCAGGATATACCTGGTTTCTACGAAGTTAAACTTAAGGTAAAATATTTAGAAAGCTGTGAAAATTGCAAAATTTGGTTGAACAGATAGGGATTTTTAATTGTTGGTCTGACACCTTTATTCTTTCCGGTGCATCGTAGATCACGTTCTGTTGTTAGTAGAATTCTCTTGTTGCTCAGTCTTTTGTTTTAATAGCAGAGTTTCGGTGGCTTACTTTGGGTTTTGGTCGTTTGTGTCATGAATTTGTTTCGGTATGACTTTTTATATTCCTTTTTTTTACTCGGCCCTTTCTGTGCATGATTACTTTGATTACTACTTACTGAATGACCTGAAGATTTGTGGATGAAAAGACGCAGTTGAATATATGAATTTTTCAATGTGACCCTCAAAATAAGGCAAACAATTATTTGTTGAATTCAAATAAATTTCATCGCACTGCTTGTTTGAAAATAAAATGATAAAAAAGTATCAGGAAACATTTTAATCTTAAGAAACTTTTATATGATAAGTTACAAACTGATGTATTCTTGCAACATGAGAAAGCAAAGGCTTCTTGAATTGAGTCTCAGTTGATAATTATTTTCTTTCAGTTTTCTTTTGATGAGTCAGAATATCATAAAGATTTGATATTGAAGAAATCTGGCGTTCCCATGGGAAAATTACCGAATACGAAATTGGCAAGGTAAATTACACCGATTGAACATAATGTCTATTAAGCGACAGTGGTTTCCGATCTCCAATTCTCCTAAATTGTTTAAAACAGACAAATCAAGTTGAGAAAGAAAAAGGATAAAATCGCATGAGCAACAAAAGTTGCATGATGTGGTTGGTCGACAAGGTAAACGTCTACTGCTTTGCAGGCATCATCCGCCATGCAAATTCGCCATTAAAATTGTACAATCGGGAATAGGACGCAAGCGGTTCAGATGCTTATGTAGGTGTCTAAAGAATTAAGACCATGATAAAATGTCGCTACCGGTCAATCAATACCTGATCATGACTGTAAAACTTGTAGTGTCGATTATAGCTATTCCCCCTCATAACTCTGTTGAAACAGTTTTGTGTAACGACGTTCCCATGTTGATGAAGTTCACTTTAGTGTCAAAATGCACGAGTAGAACATATTAACTGAGATATGTTAACTCCATACGATGCAGCAGAGGGTATGTTAAGCACAATGGATACACTTTCTGCATACATAAGATATCAGATGTTTGGATAAAGTTTATGACCAAATACAAATTTTAATTGCATTAAACATAGATATCATTTTCTTTTAAAATTCTTGAAAAATTGAAAATTATGAAACAAAAAGCGTTATTAAACATATAATATTGTTTTCCCACGATATCAAATGAATGACTGGACTAAAAATTGTTAAAAGCCATCCCTTTTCAGAATATAAATTGAACAGAAAGAAGACATTAATTTTAACCACATATAGTGAAATGATCATTTATTTTAAGGTCCTTTTTGTCATAAAGCTCTTTAACTGTTTCGGTTTGTATACATCTTTGGCTTTTAAATATTCGGCTTTAGCGTTCCTGCTGAAGGTAAATCCAGAAAAGCGCTTCGGATGCATGAAATCTTGAATCAATCCTAATCCTATTTTATTTTTGGGAAATATTTTTACAAATTCAAATGTGACGTCACTTTGTGTGTTTTTTTAGAATTTCAAATGTGACGTCACTTTGTGCGTTGAGGCTTTGGCTAAATCGGCTGTGCATTTTTAAGTGTTGGATTAAGTTGTTTTATGTAATGTATCCGTTTTTATTCTGTAGTTAGTCCCCACTTCGGTTTTATCATGTATATCTATTATATAGTCATTTTATAAAATTTACTGTTTGCAAAATTATAAATTATTCTAAATAATAAGGATGTTCTTGTCCCAGGCAGAAAACCCTGGCCGTGTCCTCGGTGCTCTTCAGCTTTGTACTTGTTTTGGCTTTTAAACTTTTTTCATCTGAGCGTCACTGTTGGTCTTGTGTGGATGAGACGCACGTCTGGCGTATTGAGTTTTAAGCCTAGTACCTTTTGTTAGTTATTATTCGTGTGTTTCTTTGTCCTATATGTTCTCCCATTTATTTGTATTGTGGTCCTGTCATGTGATGTTGTCGTTTTGGTGTTGTGTTTGACGTTGCCATAAAAGCGGGAGGTTTGGCATGCCACAAAACCGGGTTCAACCCACCATTTTTTTTCTTAAAATGTCCTGTACCAAGTCAGGAAAATGGCCATTGTTATATTATAGTTCGTTTCTGTGTGTGTTACATTTTAATGTTGTGTTTTTGTTGTGTCGTTGTTCTCCTCTTATATTTGATGCGTTTCCCTCAGTTTTAGTTTGTAACCAGGATTTGTTTTTATCTCTATCGATTTATGAGTTTCGTACAGCGGTATACTACTGTTGCCTTTATTTAAACATAATATTTCATCTTAATACATTTTTTGAAATGTCAATTTATTCATCTTGACAAATTGATAAGCTTGTACTAGCATTCAAAATCGTAAAATGTAGACCTTGAAATCAATTGGATTTATTAGTAGGAACCTTGCTTTTTTTTGTAGACATTGGGCAAAAACAGATCAAGGACAGAGTAAAATAAACAATGTATATACAGACGTATGTGAAGCTGCGGCAGAATTCCTCAAAGTAAGTCTTCCGTAAAGTCTGATTATTATTATTACTATAAGCAGGTATAATTTAGAAACAGAATGGAACGAAAAGAAAACAAGAAAGAAACTATTAGGAAGTAACGCTTTAGATTAGAAATAGCTATTGAAATGCGAATATTAAATTTAAGACTTCGTTTATGCTTTTCGTTTTGTTATAATGATCTTATCACCTTGAATTATAAAAACAATCATTTCATTTGTATTTACATCACCTGTGGCCTTTACTTATGACATTTTGCAAATCATTACTAAAGATGGCGTTTTCATGATCTTTTGTAGGTTTTACGAAAATACAATTTAGATGGAAATGACGTCATTTCAAAAGAAGAATTTGAAAATGCTTTTTCTGAAGTAAGATACGAAAATGAAAATAAAAAGATGTAGTATGATTGCTTATGATACAGGTGACATCTAGAGACCAAGTGGTGTAGGTGTTAGCAAGTATAGGCCACCGTTTTTTATTTGGATATTTTATATCTTTCGGTTGTATATACCCAACAATGTCGACTTGCTATAGTTGGATCACACTCATAAGTCATTTCAATTACTTACCAAATTGTAATATGTATGTACCTGTAGAAAACCTATTTCAAACGAAATAGCACATTCTAATTTTCACGGTGATGTTGTAAACCGAGCCCGGAAATTTAGATTCGATCTGGGGGTAAACTTATCATTCCTTTAAATAAACTTATTCTAAAAGGTTACCTATTCAACACTGTAATTAAATCTTTGAATATTGTTTTTATTGGTATAGATATTCATTTGTTTTAACAGTAAATTACTAAACTTCACTTATGTACTTCCACGGTACTTCAATCTGTCGATACATATAGTTTGGCATTGCACAAGGTCATGTTTTTCTCTGACTGTTTATGTCGTCTTTACACTAAACCCATTGGAATTTGGTTGTGTACGGATTGATATTTTAGTCTAGATACATGATTTTATTATTAGTTGTTATGGGCTTTGAACTAGCTTTCAGTAACTTAGAGTCCTCTCAGATCTGTACTTTGTGTCTTTTGTGTTTTTGTGCTTTGTATCGATATGATGAATTAAGCCCTTTTCAACTGATTTTTATAGTTTGTTCGTATGTTGTGCTGTTCCATCACTGTCCAAGTTTACATTAGCTATGAACCTTCGAAGTCATTTGGTATCTGGTGGAAAGTTGTCTCAATGATGATTTTTATTGGCAATCATACCACATCTTATTTATATGATGATGAATAAAAATGTCTTTTTAATGTGCATGTCTGGTTTTGTCTGTTATTATGTATTCCCCGTGTTACAGGTACCAAGGTTCGGTTATCAACTAAAAACTGTAGTCGTGTTATAAGTTACAGTTTCCGAAACTAATTTACATTAAGAAGGCATTTGTCCTTAAATTTCGTATGAACATTACATTTATATTTCAAATACAGACCCCAAAAGCCTATTTAGGTTTATAGTTTACATAAGTAATGAAACGACAACATCTTGGACCATTGCAAGAAGAATACAAAATATCAATTGAAATGTATCCTCTAATTAAGAGTAAATCAGACTCTACTGTTGAAGGAATATTTTGCGGTGGTTACAAAAGTAATGTGGTTTAAATGATGTAGTTTGGGATATCGTTTTAGTACCGTAATTTAGTATTTGTACAATGAAATGCATTGTTTAAGGGGAATGTTTTCGTGGTCGTCAATATTAAAACAACAGAATGGTCGTCGGATCTGTAAAATTACAGATTGTCTCCTATTTCAGATTGTGATAATTTAACTAAGTGTCAATTTAGATTGATTTTACATTGGATTGAATGTTCCCTTTCTGACCAGAGTTGGATACGAATTTATATTCCGCACAGCCAAATGTACGCCCCACTTTTGCAAAGTCTAAATACCAGTCTGAAGAAGACAAATATATGAACATATCTCTCTACCCCAGTCACCCTTGCTGTTCTTATATAAGACTTATAGAAGTTTTTATTTTTGTAACTTATTTGTTTTGAAGTGTTTAGTTATGCACTTTTCTTTGAGGCGTCTTTTAAATCAATATATTAAGAAAGCCAAAGCAATCCAACTTACGGTTTACGTTTTCGATTCATTGTAGGTCGAATTTAAAGAGAAATACAGCAAATTGTTATTCGGAGAGGGATGTGGTCCTGATCTTGCATACGATGCTGTAGACAGAGACGGAAGTGGCAGTGTAAGTTTATAGAAATTGGTATAAATCTTAATATAAACAAACACAAATTGCATCATACAAGCCTCACTGTAAAATTGTTAACTGTTTTATAATATCGTTGATGAGTTATATATATATAGTTTTATACGCCAGATGTACGTTTTATCTACAAAAGACTAATCAGTGATGCTCAAATCAAAATAGTTAAAAAGACCAAATAAAGCACTGCGAACCCCAAATTCCGAAAGGTTTTGCCAAATACATCTAAGCTAATTTATTCATGGGGTAAGAAATCCTTAGTATTTTGAAGAATTTAAAGTTTTGAAAATAGTTGATTTATTATTATGACCATATCATTGATAATTCATGTCAACACAGAAGTGCTGACTGCTGGGTTGGTAATAATCCCTACAAAATAATCATACGCAATGCAATCCAAGTGAGCAGGATAAAAAAGAAACTTTTTTTTCACAATCCGTAATTTATGTCTAGTCAGGAACATTTAATCGAACAAAATTCATTATTATCATAATTATACACCTGTATTGTTGGATTTGTTAGAAATTAGTTTTTGCGTTATGCATTTCAGATTGATTACAATGAACTGTTGAATTTTATTGAAGTAACAGGAGTTTGCATCCAGGAGAAATACCTCGGGCTGAAACGCAAAGAAATCGATGGATTTTTCAGCTTTTTGGGGACCATTTTTAATGCTCTCTTAACCAATGGCGGTAGGATATTTTCGCAGGTACATATTTAAATAAACATATTTTAAAACTAAGACAGAAGTGAAGAAAATTCTAAAAAAATGAAACATTGAATTCAGAAACAAAATAAAACTAAACATGTTTTTAAGTGTCACCAAAATCGGGGCCTCTATTTCAGTAGCTGATATTATTGTTTTTTTTTTCTATTTAACATTTATTTCATTCAGGGGGTACCAAACACCTTGACTAAAATTAATTTGGCTCGTTTAATTTTCATAAAATTTTGAGAAAATATTAACTCTGGCCCTTTGACAAAAATATAAAAAATTCAAAAAACTTGAATCACACACTTTATCGGAAAACTTTCTTTGGATATATAGCAGTTTGACAAACACCAATTGTGTTCATTGAGAAGCTCAATATTTCCCTAGCAATAGAAAGTGATTAAAACGTTCAGCTGATTTTTACAGAGTTATCTCACTGTAGTGGTATGTACCACCTTAATTCATTGGCAATTTACTGATACAATGTGCTGATGTGCTGTCATTATATACTGTTTCGTTTGTCATACAACATTTACAAGGCCTTATTCTTCTTTTGCTACAAAATACAATATGTGTGACACATTTTGGTAGAGCATATCAAAAGTATCATCTTAACAACCATTTATATTTAATTATATGGAGTATTATTTTTTTGCATTGTTATCAGTTTAAGATCTATTATAGTGAAGTAAAACATTAAGATGTTTGACATTTGTTATGTAGTGTTAGCAATGGCTTTGTTTTTAGAGTTCTGACATAAAAAGAACGATAGGAATCAGTACATGGTACATCAAAACAAACGACTTTGATTTGGAAGATGAAGACAAGAATTTCTTAATAAATGTAAGTTCAGATAATATATGTTGATCCGTAAATTGCTTTAGTTCGTCTATGTTGTTCTATCCTCCCCATTTCCTACATTACTTCCTCGTAGCAGCAGCATCCATTTGCAAAAAGAAAGGGTTCAGAAAGGTCCCTTATATTTCAATTGTTTTGAGTTAAACAGTTGTAATTTACTATAAACACAAAATACCTTCTCTTTGACACCTCACATAACACATAACGAAGCATTTATTTGTGTTGCAATGTTAGGTTTGTCCAATATTTCCACCATTTCTTACAGTTTTTGACATAATTTACTGCCATCTCTGATCTAAACAGTGTTTTCTAGGGAATCTAGGGCTTCGATATTAATCTTGAAAGCTTTGAAACCCTCTATGGTTAATTGCATCCCTTTTATATAAGCATTTTTGAAAGCTTTTTATTTCTGGCAGAATCATTTAGTTACAAAAATTAAAAACCTAATTTAATTTGTTACTCTTTAGCTTTTAAACATTTCTAATGTTTAATTCTCCTCTAGTATCATCAAAACATTTACGGGTGCCACATGTGGAGCAGGATCTGCTTACCCTTCCGGAGCACCTGAGATCACCCCCAGTTTTTGGTGGGGTTCGTGTTGCTTAGTCTTTGGTTTTCTATGTTGTGTCATCTGTACTATTATTTGTCTGATTGTCTTTTTATTTTTGGCCATGGCGTTGTCAGTTTGTTTTCGATCTATGAGTTTGACTGTCCCTCTGGTATCTTTCGTCCCTCTTTTAAATTAAAAGTATGTAGGTTTTTTCTGAGATTAAAGTTCTAAACAATATTAAGTAATTGGGTGTAACTCTTTACGATATGAATTGAAAATCTTGAACGAAATGTTTATTGCAGTGTCTAATTTATTTGTTATTTCTAAGGTATTCTTATATGTATTATTGAAATATAAAATCGAGAATGGAAATGGGGAATGTGTCAAAGAGACAACAACCCGACCAAAGAGCAGAAAACAGCCGAAGGCCACCAATGGGTCTTCAACACAGCGAGAAAATCCTGCACCGGGAGGCAGGTTTCAGCTGGCCCCTAAACAAAATTGTGTACTAGTTCAGTGAAAATGGAATATATTCCTTCAATTTTGTTAATTTGGAAATATCGTGGAATCCGAATCCCATGATCGATTTCTATTTTAAAGAAGAAAGAAAATAAACAAATTTTTCGACATATATGTACATAGTAACAAAGCATGAGCTCTGATGGGAAATTTCACCGCCTTTCCATCGATATCGCACAGTTTCATGCAAAACAAATAATCAAAAGGGTATGTAAATATAAGAAAAAAATGTCAAGCTTTATTTCTGAAACTCTACAGACAATGCCGATGTGTCATGTGCCTTCCTGTGAACTAACTAAGGGACCAGTAATCATTAAACTTTCACAGAAATACTTACAAAATAAAGCTTAAAAAATAGGCCAGCTCCTTGGAAACTACAAAAAACAGCATTAGATTACGTTTAGATTGAATGCGTTATACCAAACATATGTAGCAAGATCAATGTTTTATGACTGTGTAAAATCACAAACAGAAGTATCGAATTTGTAAAACTTTCAGTTTGTTTACCTTTGCATTGTTGTAACGTTGTCATGATGAGAACATGCAGTCATACTTGTTGTATCATTTTTTTTTAAATGAGATATGATTTGGGATGCCTCGCGATTTTTGTTTTTTTCAGCAACATTACAGAGTCTTATGAAACATCTATTTGATGTAATTGTATACTTTTGTCGCGCATGTCAACTGTCTTCTGGAATCGTCAAGGATATCACAAATATAAAGTTTTGAACCAAAAAGTGTATATTGAATAAAAAACAATTAAAACGTTTTCATAACATCAAAGAAATCATTACTGCTTTAAATAGAATAGAGTTTCGCTGAAACAACTAAACGTATATAAAAACATAACACAGCCGAACAAAGTACTTACTTATAGAATCAGTTTACAACGAAGAAGATATTAATCTATCAATACAGGTGCCCACAATTTTTCTTGGTGTACTATTATAATTGAAATATCCTCATTTGAAATAAATATATCGATAAATAGTAATTTAGTAAATGATAATTACAAAAGAATAGTGATGCAGTTGATGTTTAGTTTAATTAACGTCGAAACACATAATGAAAGAACACATTTTCCAAGTTTTCAGTCATTAAGGGCAAAATGATTCCTTCACTCGTTGCGAGAAACAAACAGTACTCACAGTATTGTTCCGTACTAAAGATGAGTACACTTATTCCTATACTTTCAGCAAGGAAGAAGGTCTACTCTTAAATACTTACAGCATTTTGTATGTGACAATAACCTAGAAAAAGTATCTGAAGATGTAATTAATGCCAGGGATATTCCTAGTAAACCAAGTCTTACTGATGCACAGCTAGAATCGATTGCTAAAATGTAGTACATTTCACTCTTAGTATTCGACAGTATATGTCTATAGTCATGTAGTATGAATACTATCGTATTATCGGTATTTATGATATCCAATGAAGCTAAAATATTTATACATCAAATAGATATCAAAAGAAAATAATAGTGTGATTTGATACATTATATGTTATATTGTTGATATGATGTCTAATAAAGAAAAAAAGAATGAATCATAGTTATATGATATTGATAAAAGACTCTGAAAAGGGTTGAAAGAGGGTCATATTTCCTACATCTACATGACAAGAGACATTTATGTCGTAGGTTGCTATTCAGTGTTAATACAGATATTGCATTTCAATACATTCGTATACATGTAGTATCTCTTTTTTTTTTTAAACTATGCACATCTAGTCTCATCAAATAACAATTCCAAGCACAAAAAGAAATATTCAGATAAAAGAAAAGAATGTCGGCTGTTGAATAAAAAATCAGATGGATGAAACGTAGTTTAGTAAACTGTCATTTTTTCACAGAATACATAACACCAATGAAAGTTTTGTTATGAATAAGGCCAATAGTTTTTTCAAGTGAATTGTTTCATATTTTTCTTGTCCGGGCCTTTTATAACCGACTATACTGTATGGGTTTTTCTCATTGTTGAAGGTTGTACGGTTGCCTATATTTGCGTACATACACTTTATTTGAACTTTGGTGGATAGTTGTCTCATTGGCAATTTAACCACATATTCTTATTTTTATATAATATGTCTTTGTAGTATTTCATCATTTTGTTTTACATTTTAAAGACCAATGTAAAAAGTTTTTATAGAATATTGTTATTCATAAAGTTGGTTTGGTTTTCAGTTTATTTTGTGGCGTATATCAAGTTAGGTATAGTGTCCGGCTGGGATCGTGGTTTTTCGAGTGATTTGATCGTTTTCGAGTGTGACCACTTTTTTCGAGTGAATATAATCAAAAATGTAAACAAACAGACTTCCATTTGTGATAAAACGTGAAAAAAGATGCTAGAACCTTATATACAAGATCATAGATGGTATATTAGTATTTTTGATAAAAAGATATTATCAACCCTACATTATTTTGTTTTAAAAACGATTAATTTAGCCTTATAATGCTTTATTCCAAAATATAATTTAAAGCCATTTTATACACATACCAATGCAAATGTCAACAGAAATGTGCACATGGAATCAATGTATACTTAGATATATAGACACTTTACAAAAATTCTTGTTTTTGCATTGAAAAGAACATTTTGGAGAGTAAATTCATTTTTATATGTTCGTGTTTTTTTCGAAAGCAGTCCGTGTTTTTTCGAGTGTGTCCTTGTTTTATCGAGTGAAAAAACAACATTCCTTTGGCTTAAAATGTGATATGTCATTGCATTTACGTTTAAAGAACAATGAAAAGGTTCAAATAAAGTACTTTTCAAAGCACGAAACAATGCATTAAACCTGTTTGATAATGCTGTATTAACACGTACATTTCATAAAAAGTCATCGTTCATTTGTATTCTGAAATCTTCATATTTATTATTTATGTGAGCTCAGACATGTTGGACTGAGACGTACGTACACTTAGAGTGTAAAGCGGGTAAATGTGTTTTTTTTTACAGAAAAAATATCCTTAATGTTTCATTTACTATTTGTCTTGATGGAAATATTAGTTATCTTGGTGTAATCAGGAGTGTACAGAATTTTACACCGGTGTTGAAAATCTATACACCCTGTGGCGCAGCCGAAGGTCGTATGCATTTTTAACACCGCGATGTAAAATTCCATACACCCCTGATTGCACCAAGATAACGAATTTATTTCTTACTTAGCGTTCGTTTACTTTTTTTATTCCCGGGTATAAATTTAAAAAAATCTTATGACCAACTTCATTACACATTTTTCAACACCGAAGTTGCTGTGCATTGTCAAATATTATCTTTTTTTTTATTTGTTGAAAATTTGTAAATTTTTAATTATTATTATTTCCAAAATTTTAATTTTCGCAATTTTGGCAAAATGTTTTGGAAATTTCTGTCCATATCAAATATACTCTCATTTTCAGTGACAGGCTAAATTTCCCGACCTTTATCCCGAACGTCCTCTGTTACATGACCTATACTTATTGGATTTATTGTTAATTTGTTCTCGTCCGGAACATGCATGACACATTTTGCCACTGGACGTTAAGCAACCAACAATGAATCATTTAGAATTGTCCGTTTATAAATTTAAAAAATCATAAAGAGGATAAGGTTTCAACTCCATCAGGCAAAGTTGACCTTAGATGGATTTGGCTTAATTTTAGGTCCTTTTGGTCATATAGCATAAAATTATAAAGTGTTGTTTTCATTTTTTTTATTGGATATTCCATTCAATTCAAATGTTATTGTAATTTATTAATTTTTATTTAAGGGGGTGGGGTCTTCTTTTAGTAGAATATTTGGGTTTATATTGAATTTTTCTGATTGTTTACTCCTTTTCCTTAGTTTCCTTGCTCCTATGTTTTTTCGTCACTGTAATATATATCAATCATAAAATATTATTGTCTGTAAAAATAAAGGCAGCATGCAATGAAATTAAAATGAATATGAGTCCCTGTACTCGGTTCTTACGACCGTTTTAAAACGGACCCATTGATTTCTTATGTATCGTAATACTGCTAGGTTATGGTAAAATGTTTTCAAAACAGAAAGTTATCATTAAATTGAAAATAGTTAAATTTGATCAACATAGAAATCTGTTTTTGTGACTTATTCCGAATATATAATATTGTCCATCGCTAAATTACAGTTACAAACTAGAAAAAGTCAGTTTTTAAGCCAAAGAATGTCTTCTTTCTTATTCACATTTTCTTAAAAAAAACCTGGACAATTTGTTAAAAAACCCGGACGTTTTACATGTTGCTCTCGAAAAAACACGGACAATGTAAATAACTGAATTTTAGGTTAAATACAACGAAATTGTGAGTCTTTTGTGCTCAAAACTTGTATAGTATTCAAAATAACATGGACGGTCATGAATAAAACTATTATAATTGCGAAATAGCAGTTAACTGACCTGATCGCATGTTTTATCACTCGAAAAAACCCGATCTACACTCGAAAAAAGTGGACCGATTCACTCGAAAAAACACGATCTCCGCTGGACACTGTACCTACCGTGTATATCTTCAAATTGAAAGGAGAGGGTACGATAAGGCCACTCTTTTGCCACCTTGAATTGAAAAAAAACTAATAGGTTTATAACCTATGCAATAAAAAAATTTAAATCTATAAACTAAAAAAGTAATAATAGCATCACCACGGGTTTTGGCGGGTTTCGTGTTGCTCTGTTTTTAGTTTGCTATGCTGTATTTTGTAGACTGTTGTTTGTCTTTTCGTCGTTTTTCGTGTTTTTGTCAGATCGTTGCTGTTGCCTTCTACTTTAATATCCCTTAAGGATCTTCTGTCTCTCTTTACAGATATTTACATGACATAAGTCTTAGTTATTTGCTTCATGGCTTCAAATTCGTGCATTTTATGAAAATCTTCAAAATCTGCAAAAAATGTCAGTTAAATTTGGATATGATTATATCACCCCATAAATTTATCAATGAAATTAACCAAAGATGAAAATTTTACTATTTTAGCAATTTCAGGGATCAATTAATACCTCTAATCATACCAACTCCTTTAAAGTACGCGTTTTTGTTTACATTTATTTCTCATTTAATATGATACAGAGATGAGTGCGAAGCTAGTTTTTGACAAGTGTTTTATTTACTGCTCCGGTTTGTCTTAGGACCAAAGAAAAAAAAAATGAATGGCACTTAGCTTGGTCCTAATACTCTTTATGACACCCGAAGAAAATGTCTAATGCATCGGCTAACTCGGGAAAAGTTTATACTTCGTCAAAACCAGTTAACACAAGTAAACTTCGTTCTGGACTGGTCTAATCGAACCATAGCTTTTATCAATTAAACTCTTGGTTTGGTCAGCTCAACACTAAAGTATACTTATGAACAGGGCCGCTTTCTGTCGATTGATTTAACTTTTTGAGTGTGTTCATGTATCTTTGTATTAATATACTGCAAACACTTTCTATCGAATTTAATTATCATGATTTGCCTGTAAATAATAGAAACAAATATGGGTTACACTGTAGGAAGACCAACGATCTAAATACATTATCAACGAATAAAGGACGAGTGTAATCATATATTGGATTGTATGCTTCGTCAAGAAAGTCATGTATTTGTTATATCGAAAGTCCAGTTCTGAACCGCTATACAAATACCAGTCCTAGAAACTTGGTCTACCTATAATGAAGAATATTATGGGTGTGTGTTTTCAAAACACGACTGCTTGCTAGTTATTTTCTGATTCCCGGTTATATATTTTTTTTATTTTTTCTTATTTGTAAGATAATTTTTAGGATACACCTAAGGGGTTTTGATTATTTGAATAATGAGTTTTCATGTCCATTTTTTATCTAATGGAACGCAATGTTAAAAAAATAATCACACAATGCGACATTTCATCTTGTGATTTATTAACACTGAAACAAAATTTAAATTCATATTTTAAAATTGAAATCAAGCCTGAAGAGCTTCCTCTTCGTCGTCATCGTCAGGGCTCTGTTGACTTGACAATATATTAGAACAGAGGCTCCTGACTTGGGACAGGCGCAAAAATGCGGCAGGGTTAAACATGTTTAGTGAGATCTCAACCCTCCCCCCATATTTCTAGCCAATGTAGAAAAAACAAACACACAGCAATACGCAGAGTAAAACTCAGTTTAAAAGAAGTCCGAGTTCGATGTCAGAATAGGTAACAAAAGAAACTAAGCAAAATGACAATGATACATAAATTAACAAAGGAATACTAGCAGTAACTGACATGCCAGCTCCAGACCTCAATTAAACTGATTGAAAGATTATGTCTTCATCATATGAAAATCAAGCACAATCCCTTCCGTTATGGGTATAGTACCATAAAAGGTTTTGTTCAACACAAACACATTCTCTACTGCAAATATTGTTTTCCTTTGCAAGAACAAATCAAATCTTGAAGAAAGTCTGATGACATAAGTCCGGTAAACAGAACTGGGGTTGGACCATTGCAACTTTTTTTCCAACCGTATTCAAAGGGTGAACCTTTTGGCGGCTTTGCTTGATGTGATGTCATCCATATGTTTGTTT